CTCTTTCCATGCTGTAGTGCTCCACTGCATGAAACAGCTTGTTCTGTGCTCTGTCTTGCTTACTTTGCTCTCATTACTGAGATAGAATTAAGGAAGGAGAGGTTTATTTAGCTCACTGTTTGTGGAGGTTTCAGTCCTTAATCAGCTGAAGGCAGAGGGTAATAGTTCATGGCAGTCAAGATAGCAAAAGCAGCAAAAACAAAACAGGGAAGAGCGAGCCTCTTTCCCTCCCTTACATTGTATGCAGGCTACACACACACACACACACACACACACACACACACACACACACACACACACACACACACGTGTAGCACTCACACCATCCCCCTGCCATCCTCTTGCGTAGGCTGAGGCTGAGGATGTTTATAAAGTGAGAACTCTGGCCCCTGCTGAGTCAAGCTGGAAACGCTGTAACTGTTTCCTGAGGTGAGGGCATGGAAACAGGAGCTCCAGGTTTAACAAGCTGTCTTCGAAAAGCCCGCCCCCATGACTACATGAGGCTTTGGGGGGACACCCAGACACAAACCATAACACTATCCCTGTTGTCTAGGACAGTGCCCGACACATCTAAGAGCTCGGTCAGTATGTGCTGAAGAAAGGAACAACCTGCGTATAATCAAGGTGCTCTGCGTCACACCAGATCATGGTCAGAGACCCGGCTGCATTTCACCTGTCTGGCTACGGCTTAATGGGGCTCGCTGTACATGTTGGACAGAAACTGTGCTTCACATGCAGTACAAGCAGCTGAGGGAGAAGGGGGCCCAAGGGGCCATGGGGCAGGAGAGGCAAGCTCAGGGCCACCGTGCGCCCCGACGCTGCCTAGCTGGCAGCTGCCACTGAAGCCCTTAGTGAAGGGGACTGAGGCGGTGACGGGAGACAGGGACATCACAGCCATGCCTAGAAAGGATTGACTGCGCTTACATAAATGCCCACTGTGACTTAATCACTTTTGAAAAGTAGACGTGAACAATGGCACTAAGTTCGGCTCAGCTCTTTTGAGTCTGCAATCTATCATTTAGGACAACACCAAGACATCTTCGGTGAGGCTGAGGTCTGAGCAAAATTTATTTTACTTAAATCACAACTTAAAAAGTGAAATCAACATTTAACACTGTGTAATATAAAGACTCAATCAAATATATGACAATACTGGACCACACCAAGCAAATAGCTCACATGTCCACTTGGGCCATGGGCCGCGCCAGACGCTCTCTCCATGTCAGCCTGCACTCTCAGTGATGGTCTCTGAGATGTGCTGGTGATGCCTGGGTCCCCAGGAGGAAGTCAGGTGAAGCGCACACCTGCCCTGACCCTTCTGCCAGGTAAGGATGAGGCCCTGCCTTGGGCCTGGGTGAGGCAATGCATGAGCCTTAGTGCAGGAGCTTCTAGAGCCGTGTTCCACATAGGCTCACTGCCTCAGTCATCCCAGGGTGGCAGGGCTCAGGGGTGAATGCAAGGCCAGGCAAGGGTTCTTCGAGGACTGCACTCCAGCCCCGCCAGCCACCTGAGGGTTGCCCTTCGAGGAGAAGGCAACAAACAGCCGGGGGAGCACAACAGACCCCAGATACACAGCTCACTCCTGTCTCTCCCTGCAGGGCGGCCCCAAAGCAGGGCCCATACCGTGGAAGTGGGCCTCACAGAACCCCCACCGCCTAACACAGACTGGGGCTCAGGGGCACCACGGTGCAAAGGCGAGGCAGTTCTCTTGGTCATTTTTGCACTCAGAAAAAAATATGCACAATAAATGATAACTCACTTCTTATATGATGATACTTTGGAGGGAATATCCATAGTCACAATGCTATGTAAGCATACAAATGTTTCCCTTCCCCAAAAGATTTGTAAATATATGAGAATAGCTAATAACTAAGCAATAAGCCACCCACACACCCTGATACAGGAGTCTCTTGATGTTGTCCAGGTTGGCCTCAAACTCCTGAGTTCAAGAGATCCTCTAGCTTCAGCCTCCCAAGTAGCTGGGACTATGGGTAGGTGCCACCATGAGTGGCAACCATGTGCCAGGTACACTGCCCCCAAGTTCTTTTCTCATTTGTGGCTTTGTGACCTGTAGCTTCAGGTACCCAGGGTCCAGAAATACTAGATACAAAGTTCTAGGTGGCAACTATACCCCATTCGGAGGAGCCTGATGAATTCCCGCACTGCCAGCCCTTTCCTGGCTGGGACAGGAATCAGCCGCTATCCAGGGTCCATGCTGTTACGGGTCATCACCATAGCATCAGTGCGGGAGCACAGGGTTCAGTACGACCTGTGACTGCACGGTGGCCCGAGGGCAGCTGGGGGTCTCATGCATTTGTTTAACGTTAGCACCCCACGGGGCAGATATTACTGTGACTGCCTGCAGGGGTCCACGTGGCTGCAAGGAGGCCGGACCATCGAGCTCGTGCGACTGCACCAGGACCTGGGCAACGTCCCCACCCCTGTGCCTGCGCCCTGCCCTGCCCAGGTGACTGAGAAGGGAGGCTGTGTGCCCTGGCTGCGGTCAGCACAGTCTTTCCAGAGAGGACCCCATCAGTCTAGGTTAACGAAACTTGCACAGCTCAGACTCAGCACCGGTACTAACACCTAATGACTGAAGCCTTTGCACACACACACACACACACACGCATGCACATGTGACCTGTACATGCAGGACAGGGGTAGGGATGCTTGTTTTGGTACTCTTTTAATGACAAGATATTGGAGATTATTTCAATATCTTTCAGTTGGAAAAAATAAATTGTGAATGAGCATATAAAGACATTTTTGGAAGACACTTAAGCAGAGCCCAGTCTGGAGCACATCGCCCAGCCAGAGTGAGGGCTGGAGGCCAAGGCAATGGGGGGGGCACAGGTGCGGACAGCGCCTGGCCTCCCCTCCTGCCGAGGAGCAGGACAGCAGGTGACCAGCGTCCCCTCCCCGCCCGGGAGGCCTGAGGTCTGCTCTGCCTGTACTGCGGGGGCTGCCCCCGAGGAGATGGGTACCAGGACCTGGCAACCGGCTTGATCGGTTCCCCCAAGCAGCAGCACCAGGGACTCAGCCCTTCCCATCTCTCGTGCTTTCTCTAGAGCTCCGCTGTGCTCTGGGGGAAGCTCTGAAGCAAGCTGGAGGCCTGAGCTGCTCCCCAGCACTGCTCCGGCTCTCCCTGCACAAAGCTCCGTGCCTTCCCCTCAGGCTGCTCTACTCCAGTGGCCTGTGTTCCATTCCCCAAGGAACTCATGGGCTGAAGACAAAGCTACTTCTCCCCTGAGCGGTGAGCAGTGGTCTTTAAACCTATACACCAGGTCACCTTGCTGCGTAAGGTCTCCCTAGGCCCCCAGGGACAGGGATCACCAAGCCTCTTCTCTGACCCTCATTCCGGAGGCTCCTTCTCCCCGGAGCTGTCTCTCCCCAACAGATCAAGCCCATTGTCTGGTCAGAGCCTGCCTGGCTCCTTCTTATCATCATGGTGCTGTTAAGTCCACCTGTGTGGAGTCCACCAGCACCGCCAGGCACGACACTGCTGCTCTCTGATGAGCCCCTTCCTTCCTTCCTCTCTATCTTCTTTCCTTCCTTCCTTCCTTCCTTCCTTCCTTCCTTCCTTCCTTCCTTCCTTCCTTCCTCCCTCC